AGGAAGGAAGGAAGGAAGGAAGGAAGGAAGGAAGGAAGGAAGGAAGGAAGGAAGGAAAGATCGAGTCTTAGAACTGGAGAGATGACCCCGAGGTTAGGAGAACTGACTGCTGAGGACCCAGCACCCACATGGCAACGCACAACCATCCATAACTCCAATTTCAGGGGATCCAACATCTGCTTCTGGCCTCTGTATGCATTGCATGCACATGTGCACTTACTAACATACAGGCAAAACACTCATACATACAAAATAAAAATAAAGAAATAAATAAAAGAACAAGTCTTACACACAGAAATTTAACTTGAATTGTTGGTATATGTCAGTATTCCCAGAATGCTGAGGCCAGCGTGGGCTACATGAGACCCTCACTCTAAACAATCCTAATTAGTTAATTAATTAATTAATTTATTCTATTAAAATTGTAGCTAAAAGGTAAGCTATAACAAATTCTAGAATTTATTTAAAATAATAATTGGGGCCAGTGAGATGGTTCGGCAGATAAAGGCACTTGCTGCTCAACCTACAGACCTGAGTCTGATCCCTGAGACCCACGTGCTGAAAGGACAAAACTGACTCCCACAAGTTCCACAAGTTGTCTTCTGACTGCCCCCATACACATGTCGTGGGTATGCATCACACACACACACGAGCTATGCAAACAGACATCGTGCCAGAGAAAACTGTAAAACAAAACACAAGCCCATGAGGAAATGCTCCACCTTAGTTGTTACTCATGCAGTATAAATTAGCATGAAATGGGCCATCCTGCCACACACAAACACCGAGTGTTGAATGGATGCAGACAGCATCATCGGCAGCCTCACCCATGGTTGGTGGGAAGGAAAAATGGTACAACACAATTTTCCCAATTCTTCCAAGGCTAAACATGCCACCCAGAAATCCACAGAGAGGAATTTACCCCAAAGAAAAGACATTTAGTGAAGTTCGTCCAAAGGCTTGCAACGAGTTGCCCATAGTAAGTTTATTCATAACAATAAGATCCAGAAATGTCCATCAAACACCTCCCCCCCACTTGGGAATACTGGTCAGCAGTAGAAAGGAATGTGATTCCAGGGAGGGCAGCGTTCCTGTGTCAAAGGCAGGACTCTGAGCAAAAGAACACAAGCTGCAAAGACTCCACACTGTGGAGCACACTTCCAAGAAATTCTAGAAGAGGTAAAGTCCCGAGAAAGAAAGCAGACCCTGTGGGGTCCTTGGTGGGGCCGGCAGTAGACACAGGACACTGACTGCAAAGGGCACAAAAGATCTGGGGGTGGGAGGGACATAGCGATGTTCCATGCCTCGATTATGGGAATATTACAAAACTGTCTATTTTATCAAAACCTGCCAAGTTGATTTACTTAAATTTTAATGCTCATAACTTATACCTCAAAAAAATAAAATAAGAAAAGAAAAAAAAGCTAATCTTAAGTGAAACTGCAGGCTAAGACTATTGTCATGAACTATTATGAACTCTACTGGTGAGAAGGCAAGAGGTTGGTTACATGACAGCGTGGTGCAGCTTGTGGTGACTATAGAGGTCTGCCCTGACACTGAGCAGCCCCAGGGTGAGGTAGAGGGAGACGGCTGGTGCCCGGGTTTGCCAGCAGAGGGTGCTAGAGAGCAGCAACAGGCGACTGTGAGGTAGACAGGGGGACACACCTGGGACTTAGGAGCCCTGTGTCCTAGGCTGGACAGATAAAATGGCCCTTCCATCCTTGGAACCACATTTCTTAGTGTCCTACATAAACATCAAACATTGCTAAGTGCTAGCTACCAAAAAATAAACATGGGGGCCGCATGTGCCCTTAGGAAGAACCTGGTCACTCAGGGCTGAGCGCTGTATCTGTCCTCTGAGGAGACCCGGTGGGGTTGTGATAGGTCCCTCCAGCAGGGGCTGCGGAGCCCCAATCTATACAGCTAACCTGGAAGCCAGAGAGGTACCCAGTACAGGCCTGACTCCTTCCCAGGGCTGTTTCCATAAGCAGAGGGCTTGTGGACATGGGAGGGGCATGCAGGGCACTTGATCAGAGGGGAGGGACACCTGGGAATGTCCGAGGACCCTCGGAGTCAGGGCAGTTGAACT